AGGAAGCGTCTTGATTATTATTAATTACCAGTGTCTCATTACCTCTCACTACTTCTGTCATCTTCCACAGTTCCCCTCCCAGGCCCATCCCATTTTTAAGGAAGGGGGAAGTAAAGAGGACGGAGAGAGACAGGCGAAGAGAAAAACTTAGAAACGGGAAATATAGTGCGAGCGAGTGCCACACTCACTTAACAAGTGCCACACTCAACAAGTGCCCCCACTCACTTAACAAGTGCCCCACTCACTTAACAAGTGCCACATTCACTTAACAAGTGCCACACTCGCCAGCAAATACAACGTCCACCAACACAGAATTAGAGATGAAATTAAGAGTCATGCAGTACGTTCTCCATTAGCAGAAAATGCTTCTACTTAACTCATAAGCCGTGACCACCAGGCTGACCTGACGAGGGTCAGGTCACGGGTACAGTAACGACCCCTAGTGGAGGTCGTTACTGTACGCTCCGCTCCGTACGTTACGGCCGCTCCTCCACTCGAAGTGGAGGAGCGGGTGGTTAGGTAAGACCTGGTGGACGACGACAGGTCGTTCCATCCTCCTCCACAAATGGTCAGGTCACGACCCCCGGCCCCTGACCCGACTATGATGGGGTTCTTGCACTAGTTCAGTTTAAATTGGCATTTTCAGCCATGTTTCTCAACTCTGGTGTATTGCATGTGTCTCATCTGCACGTGTCTCGTGTCTCACCTGCACGTGTCTCGTGTGTCTCACCTGCACGTGTCTCGTGTGTCTCACCTGCATGTGTCTCAGGTGTACAAGGTATGTGACGTTGTTATACATTATTGATCAGTCTGTACATGAAGGAAGCTTTATACCGTTGTACATCGGTAGTGAGTCAGTACACCAAGTGAACCTGGCCACTTAGCCAACACTGCGATGATTTGCACAAGTTGTGTTGACGACCAGGCTTGAGGAGTGGGAGGGCGGCCAGCTACCACCCAGATGGTTCACCAGGGCGGCCAGCTACTACCAAGATGGTTCACCAGGGCGGCCAGCTACCACCCAGATGGTTCACCAGGGCGGCCAGCTACCACCCAGATGGTTCACCAGGGCGGCCGGCTACCAACCGGGATGGCTCACCAGAGCGGCCAGCTACCACCAAGATGGTTCACCAGGGCGGCCAGCTACCACCCGGATGGTTCACCAGGGCGGCCGGCTACCAACCGGGATGGCTCACCAGAGCGGCCAGCTACCACCAAGATGGTTCACCAGGGCGGCCAGCTACCACCCAGATGGTTCACCAGGGCGGCCGGCTACCACCAAGACGGTTCACCAGGGCGGCCGGCTACCACCAAGACGGTTCACCAGGGTTCCAGAACCGGTAACATATACACATCTGGGTGAGAGTGAAAGGACTAAAACTGGCCGTGCCTTGTGTGGACCAACATGCCAGCTACGGTGGTCAGTAGTTCCGGGTCTTTAGGTTGTTTCATTATGACAAAGCATCTCGTTATGAACCCAAACGTCGAGACACAGGTGAGGGGACGGTGTTCCCGCCGCTGCCTTCCCTCCACGCCATAGTTGAGGAAGGTCTGCCAGATGATTGATGGCGATCAACCCACCCAAGAGGTGGCGCGGGCATGTGAGAGGCGTCTGGGTGCTTGGACACGAGTCCGCCTCAACGGGTGTGAGGAGCTCCAGCGGTAACGGGTGTGGTGAGCTCCACCAGTAACAGGTGTAGAGAGCTCCACCAATAACGGGTGTGGCGAGCTCCACCAGTAACGGGTGTGGAGAGCTCCACCAGTAACGGGTGTGGAGAGCTCCACCAGTAACGGGTGTGGAGAGCTCCACCAGTAACGGGTGTGGCGAGCTCCACCAGTAACGGGTGTAGAGAGCTCCACCAGTAACAGGTGTAGAGAGCTCCACCAGTAACGGGTGTGGTGATCTCCACCAATAACGGGTGTGGTGAGCTCCACCAGTAACGGGTGTGGTGATCTTAACAGTAGAGGGTGGTATTGAATCTTTCCGCTGAAGCTGTTACTTTATTATGCTTGGAATATCCCCAAAAAGTAGAATAATTTTGGGGAATAATTATCATGCAGGAATGTAGTGGGTGGAGTCTTGAGGGTGGAGGCCGCCTGCTCTGTCGTCCAGGTTCTTCAGGACGGCGATCAGCGTTTCCCCCGGTGATGTTTTTGATGGGAGTTAGACCGGAGAGAAGCAGCGTGGAGGGAACTGTCCCCAGGGTCAGTGACGCGAGGTCCCGGCGTGCTGGCCGAGGCTCGCTGCTGCTGCTGCATCATGCGTGCTGCTTCCCCGTATCAACCTGCTACTGTGCCTTCACAGACACACAAAAATAATGAGTACATGGGCAAGGAGAACATATATAAGTAATGTGATTCACTGTTGTAAATACTGGAGTTACTCCTTCATAATAGGTTTTTCTCACTTCATTACTACCACCTCTCACATACAGGGTTCACTACCACCTCTCACACACAGGGTTCACTCATGGGTTAAGTGGGTGGTCAGGAGAAGCATCCAGTCTAGTCATGACTTAAGCAACGTTAATTATCATAAGCAACACTTATGAATCAGTTATCTTATCAATTATCACAATTCTGAATCAATTATGATCAGTAAAACTGGAAGAGTGAGCCTTTGCGATGATCCTGCGTCGATATATAGCAGCAAACATTCTTCACAACAAAACTGTTTCATTCCAGACATTCAAGATTGATATCTCGAGTGTAGAGACTTGCCCAAGGTTGTGAGTGTGGGGTACCAGGGTAAAGAGGTGCCCAAGGTTGTGAGTGTTGGGTACCAGGGTAAAGAAGTGCCCAAGGTTGTGAGTGTTGGGTACCAGGGTAAAGAGGTGCCCAAGGTTGTGAGTGTTGGGTACCAGGGTAAAGAAGTGCCCAAGGTTGTGAGTGTTGGGTACCAGGGTAAAGAAGTGCCCAAGGTTGTGAGTGTTGGGTACCAGGGTAAAGAGGTGCCCAAGGTTGTGAGTGTTGGGTACCAGGGTAAAGAAGTGCCCAGTGATGAGTGTAGGCTGTGTACTGAAGGCCAGCGAGACCTCCTCCCATAACCTGAATTAGACCACTGGTATCCACTACCATTTAGTCTTTTGTTCTCCAGCTGTTCAGTGATGTTCAGTAGCAGTGATGCCGTGTTCAACTCGTAAGTGTAAAAGGCATATGTGACGAAGGTAATAATAATGGCCGGAATGAAAAAGACGGAAGAATGTCGGTTAGGAGAGAGAGAGGAAGGATGCCAGAAGAGATGATACGTTATTGTAGAGAATGGACTTGACCACTGTGTGCGGGGGCATCAGTGCCATGACCTTTGACCCAGACTAGGCCAGAAAGGTCACATTTCCACTCTCCCGTCACTAGGGCAGGTCACGGGCTCACTTTGGTTGAGGGGACTCCGAGGCCCCGGCTTTGTACCGGCTGCCTGTATGACCTACTTAAGCGGTTCCAGCTCTTGCGCCACCTGCTGCTGCCCATCTGGGACTAGATTCACGAAACAGTTACACAAGTACTTACGAACCTGTACATCTTTCCTCAATCTTAGACGGCTTTGGTTACATTTATTAAACAGTTTACAAGCATGAAAACTGCCCAATCAACTGTTGTTATAAACAGCCTCCTGGTGCTTCGGAGCTCATTAACTGTTTAATAATTGTAAACAAAGCCGCCAAAGATTGAGAAAAGATGTACAGGTTCGTAAGTACTTGGGTAACTGCTTCGTGAATCTGGCCCCTGGCTTATTACAGCTGTTGCGGCCGCTCTTGATGCTACTACAGCTGTTGTGGCCGCTCTTGATGCTACTACAGCTGTTGGGGCCGCTCTTGACGCTACTACAGCTGTTGTGGCCGCTCTTGGCGCTACTACAGCTGTTGTGGCCGCTCTTGGCGCTACTACAGCTGTTGTGGCCGCTCTTGGCGCTACTACAGCTGTTGTGGCCGCTCTTGGCGCTACTACAGCTGTTGTGGCCGCTCTTGACGCTACTACAGCTGTTGTGGCCGCTCTTGACGCTACTACAGCTGTTGTGGCCGCTCTTGACGCTACTACAGCTGTTGTGGCCGCTCTTGACGTTACTACAGCTGTTGTGGCCGCTCTTGACGCTACTACAGCTGTTGTGGCCGCTCTTGACGTTACTACAGCTGTTGTGGCCGCTCTTGACGCTACTACAGCTGTTGTGGCGGCTCTTGACGCTACTACAGCTGTTGTGGGTGCTCTTGACGCTACTACAGCTGTTGTGGCCGCTCTTGGCGCTACTACAGCTGTTGTGGCGACTCTTGACGCTACTACAGCTGTTGTGGCCGCTCTTGACGCTACTACAGCTGTTGTGGCCGCTCATGACACTAAACAACAGTCCAGTGTTGGGCGACAGTCCGGAGGCAGGGAGGGGGGAGGGAGCCGATAGGAAGGAGAGAGGAAGAGGGGAATGAGGGAAGCAATAGGGATGGAAAATACTATGAGAAGGGCCAGAGGGAGCCTCTCAAGTTTGTGTTGTAAGGTACTGTATCAAAGGCTTTTTAGGCAGTCCGGGAATATACATAACTGCCCAGCCTTCTCTGTTCTGCCTTATTCTTGTTACTTTATCACAGAACTGCTGTAGGTTGTTGGGCATGATTTCTCTTCCCTGAACCCACGTTGGTGTTTGTTTACATACCTAATGTTCTCCAAGTGTGGTACTAGTCTTAACCTGATTATTCTTTCTGATACTTTACAGGGGATGCTTGTCAGTGATATTGGTCTGCAGTTAAGTGCTTCTTCCATCTCTCCTTTCTTGAAGATGCCTCTTTTAGTATCCACGGTGATACATTGTCTGGTCCAACTGCTTTAGTGTGTGTGTGTGTGTGTGTGTGTGTGTGTGTGTGTGTGTGTGTGTGTGTGTGTGTATTCACCTAGTTGTGCTTGCGTAGGTTGAGCTCTGGCTCTTTGGTACCACCTCTCAATTGTTAATCAATGTGTGTGTGTTTATGATTTTGCTATTTTTTGCTAATTAATTTGTTTTCTCTCCCGAGGTGCAGGTGACCATGGTGTTACGGCGGCTATGGTTGGCGGGTGTGGTCGGTGAGTACACTCTATGTTCCGCTTGCTGGCACTCTGTCGGTCCATCACTGGCACCTTTCTGTGCTAGCCAGGCACCTCCCTGACACCTGTCAAGCAAACCTTCACTCTCTTGACCCTTCCTCATCATTTTTTATTTTTGTCCCTGGACGCTCTTTGTGTGAAGAAAATTTAGCTCTACAATGCAATAATATTAAATGTTTCGAAGGACCAGAATTATAAGGTATATTACTCAAGAGAACCAGTGGCTTATGGATCTCCTATAATAAATGCAAAAAGGAGATCAAATATATCAAGCTAAATGAACTGTAAATTTGTAATAAATTTAGAACTATTTCCATGCACACCCTTTTGGGGGGTAATTCATATACTGTTAATATGCACCTATTAATGGAATAATGCATGCATAAAATAATATTTTGATTAGCAAATGATAAATTATAGCTAACTACAAGGTAAAGCATAAAAAGCTTATCTGCCAAAGACGAACGTAGATAACCTCCGACAGCGTCAACCCGTTTATTTCTGTTCCAATCAGCTATCCTTGGGAACACGTGATCACGGATGCAGAAACACTTTTCTCTCGGTCTTAATTCCACGCTGTAAAGCAAGTCTTATGTAATTTCCACTCCAAACTCTATATTCGTGCATTCAATCGCATAATCTAAAGAAATTGGAGGGTAAGTTCAGCACTTACGTGGGATTATTTTATCTCTCGCTACGTAACGACAGAACACCAACAATATAATACATAAAATGGCCAAATCAAATACTACTGCTGAACTCTGTCTTGCCGAACGTGATGTTCGTAAGTGGTGGAGGTTGCACACTCGATCAGAAGCTCTCAGAAGAATGGATGCGCTCTATTTCGATCGATTACTCTCATGCAGTACCAGAACATCCAGATCTCAGATTTCTAACATGGCGACACCCCCTCTCTCCTCCATCCCTTAGTGGCGCATGCGCACTCGCGCCAATGCTGGAACTCTTGGGTATAATTTGTAATATTTCAAACAGAGCTCCGAATGGATGGAGATGTGGTTGACGAATATTTACGTCATAATACAAAGTTTGATAAGACAGTAAATTATATTTCGTAGTGCAAGGCAATTAATTTAATGACGTTAAACGCACGAGAATATTAAGATTGACAATCAAGTTTACCGTTTTATTTACCGGAACAGCTGATCGAGACTGTATAAATTAAAGTAAATCTATTATAAATCGATTATCCTTAATAAAAGGGGTAAAATGAGACTGGATTCAACTCGATCCATTAATATGTAGAAATTATACCTTCCGGCGGGGTGGCTGACGGAACCTGGGTGGCTGTGTCTCCCCGCCAGGGTGGCTGTCTCTCCCCGCCAGGGTGGCTGTGTCTCCCCGCCAGGGTGGCTGTGTCTCCCCGCCAGGGTGGCTGTGTCTCCCCGCCAGGGTGGCTGTGTCTCCCCGCCAGGGTGGCTGTGTCTCCCCGCCAGGGTGGCTGTGTCTCCCCGCCAGGGTGGCTGTGTCTCCCCGCCAGGGTGGCTGTGTCTCCCCGCCAGGGTGGCTGTGTCTCCCCGCCAGGGTGGCTGTGTCTCCCCGCCAGGGTGGCTGTGTCTCCCCGCCAGGGTGGCTGTGTCTCCCCGCCAGGGTGGCTGTGTCTCCCCGCCAGGGTGGCTGTGTCTCCCCGCCAGGGTGGCTGTGTCTCCCCGCCAGGGTGGCTGTGTCTCCCCGCCAGGGTGGCTGTGTCTCCCCGCCAGGGTGGCTGTGTCTCCCCGCCAGGGTGGCTGTGTCTCCCCGCCAGGGTGGCTGTGTCTCCCCGCCAGGGTGGCTGTGTCTCCCCGCCAGGGTGGCTGTGTCTCCCCGCCAGGGTGGCTGTGTCTCCCCGCCAGGGTGGCTGTGTCTCCCCGCCAGGGTGGCTGTGTCTCCCCGCCAGGGTGGCTGTGTCTCCCCGCCAGGGTGGCTGTGTCTCCCCGCCAGGGTGGCTGTGTCTCCCCGCCAGGGTGGCTGTGTCTCCCCGCCAGGGTGGCTGTGTCTCCCCGCCAGGGTGGCTGTGTCTCCCCGCCAGGGTGGCTGTGTCTCCCCGCCAGGGTGGCTGTCTGTGCCATAACTTCATCTCTGATCTCGTATTGGCGGGATTATGGGTTTGATTCCCGGACGGAACACAAATGGTTGGGCACGTTTCCTTTCACCTAATACACCTGTTTACCTAGCAGTAAATAGGACTGTTGTGGGGTTGCCTCCTGTGGAGGGTGAGTAGTTCCACCCTGGCAGGGACCTCCATACACACCTGCAGTGTCAGCGTGTATGGACACACCTGCAGTACAAGTTAGTACTCAATGGAATTCAGAAGTAAACTCAATGTTCATGGCGAGAACACTTCTCCTTGTGTGTACCCGGTAAGTAACGTGGTCCAGACGCGTAATTGACAGTACGCGACCAGCTTTATGACTGTTGACCAGACCACACACTAGAAGGTGAAGGGACGACGACGTTTCGGTCCGTCCTGGACCATTCTCAAGTCAGCTCTATGATTGACGCGTGGGAGGGGGGAGGGGGGATCGGGAGGTTGGAAGGGGGGGTTGGGGAGGGGTCAGCAGACGAGGGAAGGAGGTGACATGAGTGTCACGTCACCCCCAGCTTGTGCTTCCTGGTTCACTTGTCGTACACTTCTACCTTCCCTCCCTCCCCCTTCCGTGCCCTGTGTGGGAGGGGGGGAGGGAGAGGAAGGGAGAGCGCCTCACTCTCCCGGGATGGCAGTGGGAGAGGTCACGGAGCCGTCAGCAGGGTTAAGCCACTCTCCTCGAGTCATTCATGTTCTCCTTCACTATCTTACCTCTTCCCTATCCTCTCTACCTTCCATCTTTATCCCCCCAGGCCTTCTCTCACCAACTTCTTCTTCTCTCCCACCTTTCCCTTCTACTTAATCCTCCCTCTAACCTTCACCTTACATTCCCACCTTTCTCCCCATTTTCACTCCCCTTCCGACTTCTCTCCTCATCTATTATTTTATTCATCTCTCACGTTGTTGTTGTTTTAGATTTAGCAACTCAAGATCAGAGGTTCATGTAGCACGGGCTATAGTGAGCCCGTGAGTGAGTTCGGTTATTCGCGATAACCTTGTTACTGTGATATTTGGGTCAAAGTTTTAAATGGGGGTGGGGTTTCCTCCTTTTTCCCTGTTTCTTATTCCCTTCTGTTTTAGCGCACTGGTTTTAGTCTTGTTTTAATAACATTATCTTGGTGGTGGATGTGATGCACAGTGTTCACCAGTGTGTTCCATTCTTGAACATCTTTCACACGTAATTATACCTGATATATTCTTGAGCAACACCTGCCCCCCCCCCCCTCACCTCGCTGAAGAACTGCTCGCGCCTTACAACTGGTTCTTGTTAGGGTGACCTCACTACTGTGTTCCAATACTGTAACTGCCTCGGCCCGACACCTCCAGCGTCACGCTCGGCCCGACACCTCCAGCGTCACGCTCGGCCCGACACCTCCAGCGTCACGCTCGGCCCGACACCTCCAGCGTCACGCTCGGCCCGACACCTCCAGCGTCACGCTCGGCCCGACACCTCCAGCGTCACGCTCGGCCCGACACCTCCAGCGTCACGCTCGGCCCGACACCTCCAGCGTCACGCTCGGCCGTGTTCCACTAACTATAATAGCTAAACAGGTGCCTCTTCGGTCAGTGCGGTTTTGATTGTGCAACACTTTGCAATGTAAAATAATAGTCACAGTGCTGAATAATAGAGTAGGCGAGTCTTGGGAGAGTATGGAGGTGCGCTCTAGTTGCCGAGGCTGGAGTGGCCTCTCCAGGGCGCAAAGCCAGGGTAGGTCGATATGAAGGAGAAGCTGTTACCCATGCAGCAGGTCCCCACCCCTTCTTCTCGTAGCTGAAATTGTCCAATGGAAAGGCAAACGCCAATACGCTTGGTTCCAGCGCCGTCGCAGGAGCTGCCAGAACGAAGTTGAAGTCAACAACGAACTGCCTTAGGGGCTCCGGCTCCGGATTTTTCCTCGAGGTTGACTCCTGAAGCTCGTTGACCAGACCACACACTAGAAGGTGAAGGGACGACGACGTTTCGGTCCGTTCTGGACCATTCTAAAGTCGATTGTGAAGTCGATCCTGAAGCTCGTCCCTAAAGTTGGTATGGCCGCGAGGCAGCGGAGGTGTGAGATCAGGGCCTTCCTTCCCCTAGATGAGCTGCCTTCCCAGGCTGTCGAGACCCATGTATCCGGCGCTGGTGGTTGTAAAGCACTAGAGACACGAGCACCTGTAGGGCCGCCCCTGGTACTACTACTGCAGCAGGCTCGTAGTATACCTGTGGACTAGCAGTAGTATACCTGTAGACTAACAGTAGTATACCTGTGAACTAGCAGTAGTATACCTGTGAACTAGCAGTAGTATACCTGTGGTCTAAACAGGTAAGAGAGAGAGGGGTGACAGTCGGGTCAGCCTCCGAGTGTCCTTGACAAGAGGGAAAGTGGTAGTGGGACCCACCCCCACCTGCTGAGTGGGGGAGGGCAGGTAGGGAGAAGGGGCAGGTAGGGGTAGGGAGAAGGGGCAGGTGGGGGTAGGGAGAAGGGGCAGGTGGGGGTAGGGAGAAGGGGCAGGTGGGGGTAGGGAGAAGGGGCAGGTGGGGGTAGGGAGAAGGGGCAGGTGGGGGGTAGGGAGAAGGGGCAGGTGGGGGTAGGGAGAAGGGGCAGGTGGGGGTAGGGAGAAGGGGCAGGTGGGGGTGGGGAGAAGGGGCAGGTGGGGAGAAGGGGCAGGTGGGGAGAAGGGGCAGGTGGGGAGAAGGGGCAGGTGGGGAGAAGGGGCAGGTGGGGTTAGGGAGAAGGGGCAGGTGGGGGTGGGGAGAAGGGACAGGTGGGGAGAAGGGGCAGGTGGGGGTGGGGAGAAGGGGCAGGTGGGGAGAAGGGGCAGGTGGGGGTAGGGAGGAGGGGGATGGGGTGGATGCGTTATTGTGTTATTCTTTAAAACGTTTACTTTTTCACAGTCAGCACCAGACACTTTCCCA